GCAGTGGGGTGGGTAATGCACCTTAAGGATACCTAGAGCTTCAAATCAAATGCAGAACTTGCCACTCCAGTAAAACTAGTGCTATGCACAGATGATTACCTTTTGGGCCCAGGACATGGGACCACATGCACATCCATAGTCCAGCAAAAAAATTTCTTTTTCTAGGCATGTTTTTAAAGCTCTTTTGTATTAAGTAATTAATTATATCATTAACCTCTCTTTTCAAATTGTTAGAAAAGATTAACATTTAGCACACAGTTATGTGTGACAGCATTATCTTCTCATCTTCATCTCTGTTTATACGGTCAAATGGGCTGCCTATCTGGCAACACATCTAAGACCACTTGGGCACCTTACACAAATTAAATACATGAGAAACTGCTTAAATTACTGCAGATGTTACAACTACTGTGCTTGTTTTTCATATTGTAATTCTTTCATAGCAGTCTCACATGCTCATCGTAAGCACACACAAAAAAAAACCCCTAACTTCTCCCTATCTCCTGACAGTAAAAGCATGAGGTAAATCCCATCCGTACATATGTAGCTGCAACAAATTCTACATAACATATTCTAACATAACTTTAAAGCAACGATAATAATCTTAAAGTTTGGTCTCAAGGAACGCGTGGGAAAATAATGGAATGACAAACAGAAATGTATCATGTTCTAAAATATTTCCATTATTTTAAAATAATTAAAATATTTATTTAAAGGATTAAGAGTGGAAGTAAATGAAGAAAATAGGCATTTTAGGTTTGTAGGTTCACCCACAGAGGGGAAGAAGAGGGGAAACACAGTATTTGTAAAGATGAGTCCATCTATCATAAAGATTCGTTAATGAGAAACAGTCAATTTGCTTTGGCCACTATAAAATGGAAAAAATATTATGACAATAGTCTATGTTGCCCTTACCTTCTCCACATCTTCTGGAAGCATACGGATGTCCTGCAACGAACGATTCAAGGGTATAGCACTTATGTTCAAAGGAGAAGTAGAACCTACGGGTATAACAAGAACTTTTGTTAGTTATTTTTTTCTCTGCAGCTCTCAGGATGCATGCAGGGTGATCTCCAGACAGCAAAGCAAACTTTCTTTCCCAAAACTGACGACCGTTGAGACTAGAGGTTGTAGAGAAGGAGACAGAAACATTAGGAACATTTTGGTATTTGAACTACCTGAAGCATGAGTATCAACTACTAGGAAACAGAGTTTAAATGCTGTGTGGTGACAGCACTTCTGTGCTCCCAACCCAGCTATGGCCTGAGCTGCTGGGGACAACCATGGCCAGGACCTCAGGCTGGGATTACAGTGATGCTCTGCAGTTTGCAACATAGCCGCCTAACGCTGCTCATTCACAATAGCTGGAAGAAAAAGTAATCTCACTGTTGTCTGAGCATTCAGAGACACATCACTCTAAAAGATTCGCTGAATCACTGCTGGTATTGTGTGACTACAGCAAGTTTGGATAATACTTTGCCGTTACGTTTCCAAACCTTGAGGAAATCTCCCTCCTGTTTCCAAATGCAACCCATACTGCGTAGTAATACACACGACTGGAGCGGATGCATCAACCACAGGACTCCCTGCTTCCCAGAATAGCAGTTTTGTTTCCCCAGCATTCACTGCTGAGTATGCTGAGCACGTGAAACAAAACTAATCTCTTTTTCCCCGTTAAGAACATTTCACTACGCAGCAGAGAATGCATCCGTTTTTCTATAGATGTACTATGGATTGCTTTTTATACAATCTTCTTTCCCAGAGAACTGAAGGTGTGAGATCATGTCCTCATGTTTTGTTTTCAAAGCACTCACAATCACTGCTGTAAGAGCTTTGCTGGAAGGATGACAAAGACTACATGCAATGTCTGTGGATGTACACACTAATGAGATATGAAAGGAAACGATTCCTGTTTTTTCACACTGATTGGGTTCTGCTTACTACCTGTTCTTTGACCTTATAACCAAGCAATTTCTCTGTTTCACTGGGCTGATGTTTACAAGATAAAACAGACTATATTGAAATGCTACCACTACACATGCCATTTAAAGCCATTTCAGGTAACACAGCTTAATCAAAGGCTCTTTGTTAAAAGAAAAAAACCACAAACAATTGCCACTCCTAAATGTGTTTAAAGTCACAGAAAGGATAAAAAGGTCCCATAAAATACGAGAATAATTTAAGAAAACTTTTTCTCCAACTAAAGGGCACTGACTCTCAGGCCTAGTTTAGACTCTTTAGCTTGCCTTATTTATAGAAACCATGTTATGCTGCCCTGAGTGCCGATGACATCAGGCTGGAAAGTCAATGCTGTGCTCAAGCATAGTGAGACAGACGTAGGGGTTTTGTACAGAATTATTAACACCTCCACTGTGTATATCATGGAAGAAAAATGGAAAGGCTGACGATCTGACTTTTCAAACCAGACTTTATCACCTAATTAGGTTATTTTCATGCCTATTTGATGATTCATCTTACTGGATAAGCAGTATGTGGAGCACAGGCAAGTGCTAAAGGGTCTACAGCTTCATAAAAGCCTGCACTCTCCTCAGTTAAGATAACCAACATTACTCGTTGAACTAAAAACAATAAGCAGAAACAAGGAAATGGAAAAAACATTCCTTTCTCTTTAAATATAAGATGTAATTAATCTTAAATATAATTTTGAAATCTAATGGGAGCTCTCATCTTGCTTGCCTGTTGCATTTCACTTGCATCTTTAAGTGAAAAGAATGTCAAGTGGGAAGGAGCATGGGGAAGGAGTCCAGCAAATCCAGCAACGGGACACAACTCAGTGACACAAAAAATAATTGAGTTGCCCTTCTGCTTCTATGCTGTGTTGCCTGGAGGCTGCTGAGGAAAGAGCTCTCGAGAGCCACAGATGGAAAGAACCTTGATGCATACAGAGGTTAAAAGCAAGAACAAGCCCTGTGAACTGCCAGTGACACGCCAGCCACAACAAAGCCCCCACAGAACATCAAATTCAGTCACAGGTTCTCCATTAACAATGACGGAGCCTTTTCAGAAGGTTGCATGAGGCCACTAGAGAACAGCCCTTAAAAGTATGAACAAGGCCTAACATGAGTATCACAGGACCAGTGAAAAAATCCCACTAAAAAAATACACACATTAAATCCCACTAAAAAAATACTTATTTTAAGTCATCTTATGTCATTTTCTTACATCTTGTGCATCCCTCAGTGATCCTCCTGAGACAAACAAAAGTGAGAAACTACCACCTCTGAGATAGCAACAGAAAGGATGGCAAGCCAGGAAACGCTTCGTATAACTCCTGCCTTCAAATTAGGCATTTCATTTCTTCTTTTTCAGTCTGCCATTTGCTTTTCCTGTCCTCATAGTCCTGCACAGCACAGGGGAGAATGAGACCTGACTCACCCCACCCCAGGCTACCCAGTAACGAGTTAAATGGCTGGAAGCAACCAGGCACGATGAAACGCAAAGCAGAAATCTTCACTTTGTACAGAACAGACCAAAGCCTAATGCAGACAGAGTCCACCATGCTGCACAGTGTCCCAAGAGGATCCCAGCTCCCGTGAGAAGTATTTGTTAGTAAAATCAAGGATGCTACATCTCCAGTCACCTGGCTGCCGTACTCCTTCCTCTGCTTTCTGGAGAGCCGGCAGCACCACTGACCCTACGCGAGCTCACAACACGTCCTACTCGTGCCGGAAGATCAAGTCACACACGAAGTATTTGTTCTCACACACGTGCCTCGCGGTCCCCGCTGACACCCAGAGCCTGGGCTGCGTTTTCCAGGGGTGGCTCCCCAAACCTGCACGACTGGCCCCAGCTGGCTCCAACCATCAGGTGTGGTTTCCTCCTCTCAAACACGCGGGGCCAACGGAACGCCCAGCAGAAGGAAGCCACCATCATCATCATTGCCGTACTGTTGACAACAGTCTGTCCCAGATGACCAAGTTGTTATTGAGAGCTCCCTGTCCTGCAACAGCACGTGCCTCTCTGAGACCTCGCTGCCGACTCTGGGTGAATAGCTAGGAAGGACCAGAGCTTGGAAGTGGAGCTCAACGGAGTGCCACCACTAGGACTACTACTGACCAAAGAAGAAAAAAAAAAGCATAGCCCTGAGGCAAGGCGAGCCGCTACAGCGGCCATCCAGTGGCACAGCACTGAACGTCCCAACGGATCAGGTCCTCGCCCAGGGGCCTGAGCTGCCCTGAGCCCCCTGCCATGGCAGGAACAGGAGAGGCACCCATTGCTAGCAGCCCTCGGACTGTGTCTCTTCACAGACAATGTACGGATAACAACACGGACAGAAACTGGTGAGCACTAAAAATAACCGGATCTGTTTCGGATGGGGCTCTGTGTCTCTGAGGCAGCGGGTGAAAAGAAAAATAGTCCCGCTCTGGCACAAGCCAGTTTAGTCGTAACAAGAATGGATGTTAATGCCCTCCTCCAAAACCCTAGAATCAAAAGGACTTCCTCTCCTCCAGCTCACGGCACACACAACATGTCCCAGGGAGCCAGCACACAACAAGGAATCACTACCAAACGCCCAGATCGACACTATCTGCTTTTGAGAGAAGGGTACTGCTGAAGACAAGACGAAGATGGTGGAAGCCTCATCCAGGGGATGTTCTACATTGCTCACAGCTCAGCAATTTCTTACATTTTTACCAAAGGCTGCATATTACAGAAGCATTTCTGTGTCCCAAGACAGATAACTGCTGCGAGCACAAGTGTCTCCCGTTTCACCGAGACCAACCCTCTGGCTCTCCTTCATTTCATTTTTAAACTTTATCTTTCTCCCCTCTCTCATTTTGAATGACATTTGTCCAATTGACAAACAAGGCTCATTTCAACTACAGTTTCTTTCGTAGCACAGAAATCTTAAAACAAAAACAGACCTGTAAAGTTACCTGTTTGATTGACTGGCTCTGACTGAGAAAGTCCACTGGGAGAATTGCTGTCACTGTTGCTGACAGGCGCAGGCTCCAAAGCATCAGGGTATTTCAACAGATCTGCTGGCTTACCAACAGTTGACTCGGGGAGAAACCTTGTGAAAGTCAAGTCTTGTTCAGGTGAGGTATAATGTTCTTTTCCAGAATGCACAACAGTCGATGTGACAGTGCCTCCCGTTAACGTCACCTGGGTAAAGCAGTCCTGCTTCAGAGGGGACACGTCCGAAAGACTGAAATCATTCAAAGAGGAAGCAGCAGGATCCCCATCAGTGTAACGGGGACAAAAAAAGGTCTCCAGCGAAGGTTTAGAGGAATCACAGCACGCGTTGTCCCAACACGCCCGGTGCCTTGTAAACCGAATGTCTGTTTGTGTACAGGCAGCGCTGTGGCGCGCAGAATCGCTGTCACTGTCATCGTTGCTATCCCCGTTGCTGCTTTCTTCCCACTGTTCCACGTCACTGTCCAGATGCTCGGCCCCCTGCATTGTGGTCTGCTCCAGCATCAAAGAGGGCTTCAAACCAGATGCCTTTAAAACAGACATGAGAATGTCTTTGATAGCTTCAGCACTGTTTGGGTACGACCCAAAACTTCCGGCATGTCCAATCACTGCTGGCCTTGAGTATTCATCTGTTCAGAAAAGGGAAGAAACTCAGAGTTTAGGAAAAAATCCTAAGAAAAGGTTAATTTACAATACGAATAAAAGTACATTATTTTTGACACAGCTGAGAAGACTGGAAAGAGCTGAATTCACACACCACTCTAGTGCCTCTTCCTGTAAGAAAGCTCTTGCTTTCTGTAGTCAGGAAGCAATTCTGTTGTTGATAAGGCTAGGTAATAAACCAACAGTAAAGTATGTGGCTGCTAGCCAAACACAATTAGTTAAGGCTTTAATAGTGACTGATCATCAGCGTGTTTGAAAACATCATTGTTCTACAAAACTGGATGAGGTACAGTTACTGCTACAGGTACTGGTTTACTGGTTCTATTGCCAGTAAAAGAGAAGGTCACATTATAGCAAGACATATGGAGTATACAGCAGGAAGAAAAAAAAATAAATACACTTAGTAATAAAAGGTCATGTGCTTGCATGTTTCAGTTCAGTCAGACGCCTATTCTCATGTGGAAAAGGCTAAAGTAACCTTCAGTCCATTATTCATAGGGGAGGCAACATTTAGGTGAACCCATCAGAAAGTCAGCTCTGTCACAGTGAGTTCATTATAATGCCTCTGAAGGAAAAGTACTGCCTGTCAGGGTCCTGAGTTACCTGCTGCAAAACTAAAGTCCAATAGAAAACGGAAAAACTGCTTTTAGCAGTGAACATGGCAACATGAGCATGATGTGGAAGTGCACGCCACAACTAGTAGCTAGTCAAGAATAAACTGAAATCCTATACCGTGAACAAAAAGCCTCACAGGAACTGCCATCACCCAAGCAATGGAAAGATTAGACAACTTCTACGTTCAAGAAGAAACTATTGACCACCCCACCAATGAAGTTAACAAAGGTCTCCTTTGGGGAAGATAAGTCAGTCGTAAAATTCTAAGAATAGATACAATCACAAAGATCCATTTCCAGGGCAAAGAACTCTTAGTTAGGACCACAAGGGAATGTTAAACACCACTGGTAAAAAAAGCAGCAAGTTTTACAGACTGCAGACTTTGCCCAGAGATTGCTCTCCTTGGACATATCTCAACGGAAAACAGTAAATCTCTCCATGAGTCACTCACCTGGAAGCCAGAATGCACTCAAACTGCATGATAAGAAAGTTTACTAATGAAGGGATCAAAACCAAAATAAAAACCCCCACGTACTTTGGAAAAGCAAGTCTATATAAAGAGCAGGCCTTATCAAGAGAAAGCTAAAAGAAAATACTAAGAACATCACCTATAAGCTATACTGGAAGGGCAGACAGCAATGCTGTCCTAGTAAAGCTAGGTCAAAAATTAGCTGAAGAGTTCATCAGCAATTGGGATCAGCCACCTGCTACTGACCAGGAAAAAGCTCTTGCAGAAACAGCAGCAGAACTGCACATTTTACTGTCTGCACTTGAAAAGAAACAGTTTGCCAAAGTAGCCAGCCATAGCAGTGTAAGGGCAGGAATAGGAAAATAAAAGCTAGCTGACCTTTCAAACGAATAAATTTTGATCTTTTCAGGAAAAGAAAGCAATTTTGGTAACTGTCAAAGGCTTCAATTGCACAGGAATATCTTAACCTGGGCTGAAAACATCATCTTTTCTGTGCAAGACAAAACATTTAGCCTTACTGTCTTCAACTCTCCTGTTGCAAAGCCCATCCCAACTCATCCTTTGTCATATCCACTACTAGAGCACCATGGAGTATCTCTAGCACTAATCATATAACCATGCTGACTTACTCTGCTAAATAATTGTTCTTAGTAGACTGTAAGAGAAAAAAGAACAAGTTTTAAAGTTCTCATGCTTCTGCTTTGCAAATCTTTAAAAAAACCCCGAAAAACAGAGAAAGCAAACCTCCACTTTTTAAAGCTACTACCAGAAATAGATTAGTTTCAATTAAAAAAAGTCTGTTCAGTTTTGCAACTGATACTCATGTGAGTAATTATGATAATCTGTTAAATTCTGAGAAACTATTTCTTGAATGAACAAGCAGTTAACCTGCCGAGAACCATCTGAATGGTTCAAGTATTTTACTCTTAAGCACTCAAAATTACAGTATTAATAAAATGGCCAAACTACCATTTACAAGGCAAAAAACCCCATACTTTCAAATTGTATAATATACTTTGACATTGTCCCATCTTCAAAGCCAATAAGCAAGGTTCCTTCTCCAACCAGACTATATTTGTTTAGCATACACACACATCAATAGCCTTTGCTAGCAATACAAGCACCAGCGAAGCTCCCCAGAGGGAGGCATTTTAGAACAAATTGTCTTACCTGAGAGAACAGAGATTTGAGGTGTCGGAGCAAGGCAGCTAATCCTCGCTGAGGGATTTGAAGAATACGCTGACTCGGTGAAAGCCACCTTTAGGCTTTCGTGGTTCAACTAGAACAAGAACACACAGGCAGAGTCTGGTTACAAGACAACAGTACTCTAGTAACAATATCCCCAGTTTCAGTCATCCCAACAGGAAGAGCACTGCGCTAGGAACTGCCGATAGTCACCTAACCACTGCCTCTATTTCTGGTTATCTGAAAGTCTCCTGAAAAGCACATACTGTCTGAAAAGCACTGGCATCTTGACTCTGAATCTTGCATTTCACTTCAGAAGGCAGGTGACCAAAAGAAACTCCACAGTAGGAAAATTAAACATGTGCATAAGGCATATCCAAGATAAAATCCTGAAACGGATGTCTATATATCTGTCAAAACAACAGCAATGAAGTAGAAAAGAATTCAAGAAACCACCAACCTGCTGCTGGAAACACAGGCCTATTTAGATGTATACAAGATATGAGCTAGATCTATGAGGCTCTGGCCCCACAAGCACCTGATGCATGTGCTGCTTGATCTTCCAGCTGTATCGACCGGGACCAGGCACGGTCACATAAGCCTGACTAATTTGGTAGAACACAGTACCTGTGGTTCACGTCAGCAACATGGTTGACCCAGCATCAAGCGAGAAGCAACACAAACAGACAATACTTGACCTGGCATGCAGCCTGCCAGCGTAAGCTGACAGAAATTTTGAATGCATTTTAACTGACTGAGCAGGTTTATACCAGATCAGCATTTTGCTTTGTGCAGTCATGACGCTTCTGATTCGGTATTTCGAACCCCAAAACTGGATTTACCATATTATCAAACCAGCGTAAGCAGTTTAGCGCAGATACTGAGGGGCTAACTCCAACAAGGGAGTAAAACACACTCAGGACAGCAAAGCAACAGGTCTCCTTCCCAAGCTCACAAATTCCTTGTGAGGGTCACACATTCATTTCCCACTCCCTCTCCTGCCTCAAGTATGTCCTGGACTTGCAAAGCACATCACAGAAACTAGGAAAATCAAAGGGGTGCTCTGCTCCAACGGGCACATCATTAAAAGGCACCTAACCAAGGCGTGCCTTCTCCCCACTCACAGACAGCACTGAGACGTCTCCACACAGAAACATCCCTAGGATGCCTCTCACCCTCCCCTGCACCCTGCCATCCTATACAAAGAGAAAGGAGTTAAAAGGTGTGTGTCCTCCACCAATCTGTATTGACCGCTGTGCTCCTCACAACACGGTCTCATGGGAAAGAGAGGTGACTCAGAGAGCAGATCTAGTCCAGATACCCTTCAGAGTCACGGAAAGCAGAAGAAATTAAAACCGACAAAAAATTTCCCTTTTAACTGAAGAATAACATTTCTGGCCAACAATAGTATGCTGAATTTCAAATATTTAGTGTCTGATTATGCCAGTGCTTAGAAAAATACTCTTTTCAGTATCTGATAGTGCTTTTTTTTTCCCCCCTCTGTACTCATTTAGAGAAACCGTGGTGTAGGCAGGCTCTATACATATAACTATCATATTGTCAATATTACTGTACAAAGTAGTTTCCACAGGAACTAATTTTCTATTTAATTCTAATTACTTTTCAAATAATTGTTTTCAATATCAGCAATTAACAGACTCTACCTCTTAGGATGCAAGCATCACAACTGCCTGATGACAGGATGAAGGTAAGTACTTAATCAGTAAGCACAGATATTAAGAGTGCTAAGTTTTCAGATTTTATCTTTTTTAAAAAACTCTCCCATCTCTTAGATCTTATCAGAAGCAACCTGAGAATGTGGATAAAAGATTTCCATTTACTTTGAAGATGTTACAATTTCAACTACATCGCAGACTGGGAAAGAACTCCCTTAGTATTTAACTATAAAACTGAAAAAAAAAAAAGTAAGAAAGCAATTAAAGAGCACTTAGAAGGAAATATGACAACAGAGGTGCAAGAAGAGTACCACAACACGCTGCCATAACCAGTAAAACCCACTGACGGTTCTACGTCTTTCACACAGTAAATGAGTCAGCCTTCCCACCCCGATATTGGGACTGTATTTCCAAAATTAACTTCGTACTGAAACCACCAGCAGTTAACAATAGTACTTATCCCCACCAAAAGCTGCTTTTTGGAAAAGCCCCCCCCAGCTAAGGAAAACACCGAGCCAAGGTTCAGGCGCCTTCCCCGCCTTACCTTTTTGGAGCGGGGGTGCCTGAAGACTCCTGTTGCGCTAAAGCTGGCGAGAGCTACTGCCTGGAGAGACATGGTGGAAAAACATTCATTTTTTGCTGGCTGTCAAGTACCTGGAAGCAATAGGGAGAGAATTACAACCACCACCACGTTAACCGCGATCCTCCATGTGTTTTGCAGACTCCGCGTTTAACATCCTCAGCTGTTTTCGCTCTTGACTGTGCGTGTTTATAAGATTGCCGAAAAGCAGAGCTCAGCAACAATGGAAATCTGTGTTAGAAAGAGCCTAATTTAGAGTTAAAAAAAAACAAACAAACAAACAAACACACAACATGACGGGAATGCCTACCACTGGTACAAGAGGAATGTATCGATCCGTTGTACCCCGCGGTTCGTTGTAAAAGGAGAAAGAGACGGAGCGGACTCAGCGGCAACGAAGCCCCCGCGCTCCGGCTCTGTAGCGGGCAGGCTGCGCTCTCCCCCCGCTGCCGGGCAAGAGAAGGCACCGGCGATGAGCACAACCCGACGTTGCCCTCCCG